AGCTAAATATTTTTTCAACGTACTTTGATACGCAGTACTAAACGAAAATCCAAAGTATAAGAAGAACTAAAAAATAAATGCCTTGAAAGTCTGAGGTTCCAATTGCGTAAACATTTATTTGTATGATTTAATTTTCGAAAAATAATATGGCTAGCCTCTCTTAAACTTTCATATGTTATAGAGAATTGTAAATTAAAATAGGTTTTTTTATTTTACAAATATTAGATGTGAAATCTTTTTTTCTTCTCTATTTCCCCTTAATTTCTAAGACCTTATTTAAGAAGTTAGTAAGTATAAGTATATAGCGAGAAAGACTCGTTGCTTTCTTTCGCTATGATATACGCGGGTATATATAGTTATATAGCTGTAGTCGGCATTTCCATGCACACCACTCCTCTCTCCGTAGGCACATATTCAGTATACCCCTTCCACGCGTCTCCGAAGTATGTGCCTACATGCCCATTTCCACGCGAATCTGTAGGCACACACTCGGTATACCCCCTCCACGCTTCTCAAATAAAAAAAAAAATATGTGTGCCTGGTTCGACCGCTTGGCCGCGACGGGGCGCTCGAAACAGTGGCCAAAAGTGAACTCGCGCCGTAGCATTGCAGTCAGCAATCTCTCTACTAATCTCTGTCAAGACTAAAACAGTCTTTCTTCTCAAGTTGGTTGTTGAACATGTAGTTCTGCTTTCAGTTTTTTTTTCATACACTCTAAGCCCTAAAGAGTAGTTCTTCGAAATTTCCTTTTTCATAGTAAAATCTCAAAACTACTATTTTTAAATGGTACTTTTGATGATTTCCTCTTTTGAATAGAATAATTGTCATATGTTACTTTTCTGGAAATATCGAACAAAAAGTCAAAACTACTTGATGTTGTTTGTTAGATGGCTGTTACAGATCACTGATACCATTAATCACGAAAAACATTTAAATAAATTCCAGTTATTTAATATTAGGATCAGGGCCATAAGTAAGTAACATAGACAAGCATGTACACAGCAATTCGGAAGAATATGGTGATTTTTGTATTTTTTCTTATCGTAAGACTTACCTGACAGTCCTACTAAGTCTTTGGTTTTAATTTGTAAATAAAAATTATTCATGGTAATGGAAACAAAGTATGGATGCTAGGAAATAAGGATATAAAGGTTATAATAATACACTCATTAGTGATGATGTACTTGAATTCTGAATTTAATGATTAATTTTTATAAAATGTGAAAAAACTGTTAAATGTACTGAAGAATGTATGTATTCGTGAAATGATTTACTCAATAGAACCATTTCTGACGGACTGCATTAGCCAAAATACAATATTGGGAGAGGGAAAAAGCAGCTGAACAGTGCCGCCAGCGCTGTCGTCAATGTTACCAACTTGACACTCTTTTTTTTGTCACTTAGCTTAATCTGGACTCATCAGGACTTCTAATAATTGTTTCCACCTGTGAACATATTTAAATACGTATTAACATAAGTGTTTTTATTTTCATTCAATTGTAACTTTAACTTATAAATAGATCCATATAATTTATTTCGTACTTCATCTTTATATTTGTGATTTTATCTTCATGTAAGCGGTGTGCTATTAACGATTATGGCATTTGCCTTGTTAATTAGTGGACCCAGTGCTACAACGTCCGAGTGTAGTAGTGAGTTAATCAGATGATTAGAGAGAAATCACATTTTCAACCGTCACTTAAAAGCGAAAAAGTTTTTAAGTACTTGAGTTTAAAATAACAGGGTGGAGGTAGTTTTGCTGATTATCAAATATATATAATGTATAAAATATACAAAATATTAAAAAAATATACATAATGAATAAAACTGTACTAGCTAGGTTATGTTAGGTTGGTAATGTGATTTCATTTATCTCACTTTAGTTGGTAGTGCGTAATTTTTTTACAGTTCAGAAGTCTGTTCGGAAAAAAATGGACGCAATCCACACTCCTGAACAAGTAAAACTCTAGACCATTTTTATTAAGTAGTCATTAAATTATGTGTATCTGATTATGTAATTTTTTTTACATAAATGTTTAGTCTCTGCTAATTTTTATGCTCTGGCATGTGAGGATGTGATAATTTAGTCTCTATGTTGATCCTTTTGAAAACTTCGGAGAATTTACCTCCCCATATATTCTACGTTTTGGACTGATTTTGTATAAAAAACTTTATTTTATCTTCGGCTTGTAAGGTTTTTCCGAGATACAAAATACTTATAATTGTAATCACTTTTTACCAGGATATGAGGTTGGCCTACTTGGACCCATTAAATTGGTATGTATAATATAAACAGATCTTTGTCTTTTCTGTTATTTCTCTCGATGGTAATTTTTAAGTTTTTTGCCATTAAGCAAATCTCATAATCTAGTATGGACTTATTGAATTGATCGTTTTTTTCTCCTGTCTTTAAAAGTATGACTAATAATAAAACTTGTCCCATTCGATAAAAATATTTTTATATTTCTCTAAGCTTTTACTTGTCTCATTTGCTTCTAACTCTAAGAAACTTTTTTACTCCCTCCCGAGGGATAAGATTGTGTTCTACATTATTTTATTTACATTTATTTTAAATCTTGCAACCCCGTTTGGTTTTTCCAGAAAATCCTCTAACATTATTCTCACCTTTTTTATATACTCTAAAAGTTTTACCATCCACAAAAATATCCAAACCTGCTTGAGCTAGTTTTTTCAACGATAATGACTAATGACAGTAAAAACCTCATTCAGTTCAAAAATATTATTTCTAATTGTCTAGCTCTAAAATGAAATTTCTTTTGCCATCTACCTTTGCTCATACACTTTCATGTGTACTCTTAACAACCCTCTTTTTGTACACCTTAACGTTAGATAAAATTATTTAGTTTATTGTACGGTCGGTCACACTTTGACTAGCAATAAAATATGTATAATAATGTATATGTATCCTTACCTTAATTTAACTAATTCTCTTTATTTGACGGAGTCACTGTTTTTTATTTGTATTTATTTAACCCTTTTTTACTACGTTGATCTTAACTATCTTGTTTCACCAATCTTGAGCGTTAATTATTTTTTTTTTAACGTCACATGCATTTTTACGACTTACTTTATTATTCTTACCTCTAGCTAATGGACAGTCGGATCCTTTGTGATTCTTTACTGCCTGGCAGTAGTAACAGAACCACAAATTTTTGTTCTTCAGAGGGCACTCCTGAGCCCAATGACCAGAATCATTACACCGGTAACATCGATCCTCAGATCCACCTGGTCCAGGTTGGGTGTGAACTCTGTTCACATATGAGTCGGCTCCTCTCGGCCTTCTATCCCCTTCTTCACTTTTTACTGACTCTAACTGCAATAGAAATTATTTGATTTCCTCTAAACTTATCTCTTAAGTAGTTTGCCTAATGAGGTCAATACTTTGCACTTTGAGGAAGGTTTGAACCACCTCATGCTTTTTACTATTGTTCTATAATAAGCCGGGCGACAGTGACTGGCTACCTAGAACGTACGACTTTTAACTCATGTATCAGTGTTATGTATTAAGGATATTCGGAAATGATGTATTTCCGGGTGGGGAGGTGGCAAGAGGGAGTTTTAAATGTATAGCATACGAGTATTATTTTTTGTACTTTAAACTTTTTTTTGGCAGTTTTTATCATTAATTACGATATTATAAGTATGTTCGTATATTGTATTTTTGTTAGTTATTTTAGTTGTTAAACCAAATAAAATAACTTCGGATTTTCGTTGGATTCCAACGTTTGAAACTTCAGATACATTGAATAGGTGGTGCCAACTTACAGAACTAGAAAAAATAGTAGCATAAAATCCCTTTTTTAACAATATCATTGCGTAAAATAACTTTTTAATCTTATTACAATCAAATTAATCATCAAGGAATTAAGAAATTCTGATGAAGTCTTCATTATGTAAAATTTTCAAGTATTGACAACGTTGACGTACATTGTCAACATGGAGGTTTAAAAATAATTCCGATCTTTTGGGACGACCTATTACTGTATTAAGGGGGCTCCTACGACTACTGCTGAGGTCAAAGACAAACAAAAAATAAAGTTTTGTTTTTCAATAAACAAATGTGTCTGAAAATCATTATGATATTTTTAATAACGTATGAAGTGGGAAAAATGATATTTATGTGTGCAGTTTAACTTTGTACGAAAAATTAATTATTGTTTTGACCAGTCTAGTGCATACGAGGGTACACCACCAGACCAGNAAAAAAAAAAAAAATAGGTAAAACCACAGACAAGCTTCTCTCGCGCTAAGAGCCTGGAGCTCACAGGTCGTGTCGCGAGATGATGCGTCTATATATGTCCTAACTACAGCACACCTGGGTACGGAGAGAAGGAAAGAAAAGGGCTGTGGGAAAAATTTTGTTGGCTGCTCGGCCTCGTGTCATATTCAGGTGATATGTGCTCACGTAGGAGTGCATAAATATGTATGTATGTGCACCCACACACACAAATGTGTACAATGGTGTCTTACCTCGCCATTGGCCACGTTGATACCGAGGTAAATGTCGCCAAAGGAGCCAGAACCGATCTTTCTCATTAGCCTGTACTTGCCGCCGACGATGAACTCGGTTTTGTTCACGATCCCGATCAACGACATGGCTGCTACTGTTGTTGTGTGTTACTGCACGAGTTACGATGATAATAATGTATAGATGTATGTATACTTAACACACAACACACAACTAGTAAGCTACTATACGAAATCAGGAGGTGTAAGTAATTGTATATCACAAATGTATGATAATAGTGTAAAACAACGAGAAAGTAGACACTCGCGCGCGTAGCTATATATATATATTCGACGAGATATCTCTGGTACTGTACCGTCTGCACACGCACAATTTCGTCGGTATAGAGGAAGCGCGCAATGTATTATACTTCTAGGGACGAGCACTAGGTTCACTATAGGAGGGGGCAGGCTGACCCTCCTGCAGACGAATCGAGGACTACTCGCTCCGAGAGGGTCCCCGTCGTCCTCCTTTTGTCGTACGACGACGACGTACCCAAAACGCCTCCACAGCTCCACTAGTCCACGGCTACATTCACTGCTGGCCACTTACGCCGCGCGTCGTTGGCGCAAACGCAGAAAATCGAGGTGCGGAGGAGACGGAGAAACGACGAAACGAGACGAGACGAAGACCAAGTCGCGAGAATATATAAATATACACTAACACACACAGATACAGTTATAACGCAACACAGAGACAGAGGAGAGGACGAGGAGGCAAAAAACAGAGCGCGCGATAGTAGGTATAGCTATAGCAACTAATATTAACTGCGAGCTTCATGCTTCTGCCAGTTGGCGCTGTGAGGCGTATCAAGATAAAAGTCAAAAGACATAAAAGTGTAAGCTAAAGCTATATAATCGCTATGGCCGGCCTCGAGCCTCCTCGTCCTCGCCGACTCGCCGTCACCATTTAATCGAATATCGAAATGACTATCCGAAAATCGACACCTTACCTCACACAAAAGCAAAACCAACCGCAACTTTTTAGGTTAGTTTATTACATGAATTTTAACCAAAAACTGAAGTTGTAACAATTTTTGAATTTAACAAAGGGAGGGGAGGGGAATGACCACTCATGTAACGTTAATCTTGTTTAGAAATGCATTATCTATACAATCTTGGATGAGTATCCTCCTAATGGATAAGATTAGCGTTAGATGAGCAGTCATTATCCCCCATTTAAATCCAATGATTGCCATAACTTCAGTTTTTGTTGAAATTATTGATAAAAACCAACTGGCGCAGTTGCGGCTGGTTTTGCTTTTGTCTGAAGCGTCTACTTTTTTAAAGGTCGAATTTTGGGTTGAATAATTACTAATTTTGCCGCAAATAGTATATTCGAGGAATAACTAACGATTTTTTAGCCGTTGGTTTAGGTTGTGGCTGGTTTATAAAGTCAACCACACGGCACTACTTCAATTACCAATAACTCTACACCAAAATGAAATATGAAAAAAATATTTCGAATCTTTACGAATCATGATGTCTCTCGATTTTGGTAAGAGGTGCGGCTGGTTTAAATTTTCGACCACCCTCGGGCCTCAGCTCTTGGTGTCTATTCTAGGAATTCATAGAATTTATCGCAAAAAGTTGTAAATTATACAAGATATTGGACAATCGAGATTTGCGTTTTTCGATACGCGCCCGGTAGTGTTCGAGATTAATGGTCACCCAACCGGTCACTAGGGAAAGAAGGAAGACTGTCTTAGTCTTGCATCTCGCATCGCTCTCTTTTCTCTAATTGGTTCCCCTAAACGTATAGACATTCAGTGTCAGTGAAAAACTAATCAGAGAAGAGGAGCGAAGAGATAGGTAAGCATCAAGACCAGAGATTAGTAGAGAGATTGCTGACTGCAATGCTACGGCGCGAGTTCACTTTTGGCCACTGTTTCGAGCGCCCCGTCGCGGCCAAGCGGTCGAACCAGGCACACATATTTTTTTTTTTATTTGAGAAGCGTGGAGGGGGTATACCGAGTGTGTGCCTACAGATTCGCGTGGAAATGGGCATGTAGGCACATACTTCGGAGACGCGTGGAAGGGGTATACTGAATATGTGCCTACGGAGAGAGGAGTGGTGTGCATGGAAATGCCGACTACAGCTATATAACTATATATACCCGCGTATATCATAGCGAAAGAAAGCAACGAGTCTTTCTCGCTATATACTTATACTTACTAACTTCTTAAATAAGGTCTTAGAAATTAAGGGGAAATAGAGAAGAAAAAAAGATTTCACATCTAATATTTGTAAAATAAAAAAACCTATTTTAATTTACAATTCTCTATAACATATGAAAGTTTAAGAGAGGCTAGCCATATTATTTTTCGAAAATTAAATCATACAAATAAATGTTTACGCAATTGGAACCTCAGACTTTCAAGGCATTTATTTTTTAGTTCTTCTTATACTTTGGATTTTCGTTTAGTACTGCGTATCAAAGTACGTTGAAAAAATATTTAGCTTGAAATATTTTTTGAGGTTGATAGTAT